GAGTTCACGATCCGTTTTCCTTAGTGATGATTTCATCACACCTTGTGTTTCTCCCTCTGGTTATTTTTTTTTTATCATTTATTTTTCCAGGCTAGTAAAGAAACATTTCAAGAATTGCCAAAATTATTGTGCTGTTATACTTGAACTAGTGTAGATGGTATAACAGCATGAAACAACGATTTATGCATGTGAACACACACATACACACACACACACACACACATATATATATATATATATATATATATATATATATATATATATATATATATGCTTACATAATTTTATCAAATTTCGAGAAATTATAACACAGACACACACACACACACATGTGTGTTTGTGTGTGAGGGTACCACTACTAATTCGCTGGAAAAAAAGCATACAATGATGAAAAAATGCTACAAACTTGATAAAAAAACAAAGCATTATATTGTTATTATTGAGGAAAGACCAAAGTATTTTGGGGGTTATTTAAATAAGTCCTTTAATCCTTTCTAGAAAGTTCGAAAATTTGGACAAAATCTGGTTTTCTTACGTTGAGAATGGAGCGAGGAGGAACAATATAGAAATTTATTATGGCATATTTTGCGGTAAAAAAAAAACACACACTGATTTGAAAATTCATGCAAAAATGAAGCAGTTGTCGGATTTTAATGAAATTTCAGGGAATAATTACAGACGAATTAAATTATTTTAGAATTTTTTTTTTAGAAAATCTTGGTGAAAAACTTTTTTTTTACATCCGTTACCAACACTTACATGATTTTATGGAATTTCGAGAAATGAAAATGTCGTCCCTTAATATTTATATTAGTCAAAAGCAGAATTCATTGGTGTTTAAATCATCAAATGCTTTTGGTAAAATAAAAGCACCATTTACCGGAAATCTGCTCTGAATTGTAAAATAAAAAATGGAATACAAATAAGATATTATTTCTTGCTTATATATATATATATATATATATATATATATATATATCAAGGACCCTATTGTATTAAGAAAAAGAAATGTCAATGAATAATGAATTGTTACAAGAATTGCTATCATTTTATTTAATTTTAAAAAATTTAGAATTTTTTGTATATGCATAAACAGATTTTTGTGTTCATACATGACATTGAAGCATGTAACAGATTATCGGTGTGTGTACATATATATATATATATATATATATATATATATAAACACCAGTTTGATTTCTAATTTTTTAAGATATTCAATAGCGATGTTTGACAACTTGCATCTCAGTTTAATATTATTAATTTGATACAACTTCTTGCTCAATCGTTGTTAAATTATTTACTCTTTATTTTCACATATAACATGAAAACATTAATTCTTTATATTACAGCTTTAATAATGAACGGTGGAAAATTTTCAGTTAGAGTCATTTTACAATATCTGTGAAAAAAGGACTGACTGCTAGGCCAGCAGCAAAAGACATTAATGATTCGGATGTCCCAGAGACAGTCAACAAACCTGTGGCACGAAACTGTTTCAGATGTCTCAAGGAAGGTAACACTAATCTCTAGAACAAGTCAAGTGTACGAAGTTGGTCAGTCAGTCGACTGGCTGATCGGTTGAACTCTCTGCCTTTGGGTGAGGAGGAACCTGAAAGAGGCTACGCCGAAGGGCGGACTCTCTTTCGGGAAGGTAAACCGGCCCTGAAACCGTTTATACGGGTTCAATCGGCATAATTTTGGCCGGGCCCACGAGCTCAAATATCCCACGTTAAAAAGGCCTTGTGCCACATGACGCCCTCGTGGGAGGGTGTGACTGAATATTGTCAAGTGTACGAAGATTTGATATTGTCGGAGGATTTGTTTGAAAGTTTATGAACAGCAGTCAAGCAGGAAATACTCGTACATTGTGGGCATTACTTTCACAAATCACCATCAATCGACACTTCTATAAGCTTGGCGTTCTGAACAGACATTCTCGAGAAAAGAGTCTATTGTGAGGGGGAATCAGAGGTTGATCTCCCCTGATTGTGTCGATTTGGTGATGGGGAGTATGATGTTGAAAGACCCGAAATTCCCTGATGAACCAAGTCAAAAAATCACTGACGACCCCGTCGGGCGCCTACTTAAAAGCGTATTTTTGAATTATTCTATAAGCTTGGCCTTCTGAACAGACACTCTAGAGAAGTTCCTCGTGAATTGACCAATCATTAGGCTCAACGACGTGTAAACATTTGAAAACAATCCTGGCAAATCCACAAGAAGCCTGTTTTTGGCGTCAAATATTAACTGGGGTTGAAAAATGGATCTTTTCGTAATTCTAATAAGAAAAATAAGTAGCTTCATTCCGGCCGGATTTTAAAACCTCTTGTGTAAAAAAAGCAGATTGAAAAGAAGGTTATGCTGTGTGTTTGGTTGAAACTCAAGCGTGTGCTGCACTTTGAGCCTGTCCCAGACGGTCATGCCGTGAACACCTACCTTTAGGCACAGCAAATTCTGCGACCATATGATTCTTTGAAAACCAGCTACCCGGATCTGATCAATCGAAGACGCGCACTCGTAGAGCAAGACAATGCGCCAACACACACTACCAAATACAAACTTGAGGGGCTCGTGGTGCTAACTCAATTTACCTACATTCGAGTCCTTGCACCATCAGACTACTACCTTTTCGGAACAATGACCCATTTCTTGCGCTGACGGAGGTTCAACAATATGGATGAGGTTGAGAATGGATATAGGGAGATTGTTTACCAAGCTAAATCAGTCAAATGGCCTCAGCATGGAATTGAGCTTCTGGCAAAATAATGTCAACAGAATATGATGGGATATATTAATTAAAGCTTTCAATAAGAAAGAAACTTTTGACTCAATCTAGTAAATATATATATACATATATATATATATATATATATATATATATATATATATATATATATTACGATAAACGTGCAATCAATTTACAAATTCATGAATTATTCACACAAAAACTAATGCAAAGGTTAATGATTTAATTGGCGAAAAATCCATCATCGCAAACAATTCAAATAATATACAAAAACCTCCGAATCCGTTATGAATGAAATGATCCTTGTTTCTATAAATTTCTGCCGTATTAGTTCTTATTTTTACTGCAAGCTTTCGTCTGTTCCTACAGACATCTTCAGGTATAGAATAGATGTTGTTCTTGTTTTTTCTCTTAGTAATAAGAGGACAACGAAAATGCTATTGGAAATGAGTTATTGTTTTTGGAGCGCGCAGTAGCAACGCTGAGTTTGATTTTATATTTTTAAAAGTTGTGCGTTCATATACAAATATGGTGATGAACGAATTTTTTACTGGTAAATTTTCTGTCAAAGTGGCATGAACTATATTGTTCAATGAAATGATCCTTGTTTCTATAAATTAATTTTCATATATATATATATATATATATATATATATATATATATATATATATATATATATATATATATACGTATAAATGTAAAAGACATTTGGAAAATTGTATTATTAGTCGGCGCGTTTTGTCTAATGTGGACATCTTCAAAGCAAAACCGAAATAAATATATTGAAATAAATATATATATATAAATATATATATATATATATATATATATATATATATATATATATATAAAATGTTCTAGTAACTAGAAGAATTTTTGAAAACGCCGTTGTATTCATGTTGTCAAGTGAAAATTACATCAAGTTGACAATATGAATAAATACCGTTTTCTGGATTGAAAAATTAAGAGCTACAAGGGACAAGAAGATGCGGATGGTCATTGTTGCCTACATCCTGTAGAGACACGACACGTAAAAGAAGAAGATGGTAGGTCAGTGGCCGGGTAGATAATTCACAAATCATATCAGTATGATGTCACCCACTACACACATGCAGATATATATATATATATATATATATATATATATATATATATATATATATATATATATATATATTATAAAATAATTAATTTAAAATATGTTTTTTCGCTACACAGTACTATCCATGTTTCAAAAATGGAAGCTAAAAGCCCTGAATTTAATTTTTTAATTAAATTAAAGACATTAGTTCCATTTCATCCTCAAGCGAATTTTGGAGTAACTTTTTTATCTATAAGGACACCGGATTATATATCTTACTGTTCTTTCTTTTACATATATATATATATATATATATATATATATATATATATATATGAAATAAAGATATATATTTTATATATCAAGAAAAATATTGGGGAAATTTTATGACAAGGTGTAGAATGTTTGACGCGTCACGAATAAACGTTTTCCACTTAGCCATAAAATTTCCCCATACTCACACACACACACACACACACACACACACATATATATATATATATATATATATATATATATATATATATATATATATATATATAAGGTATATTTAAGCAGAGCAGAACTTGTGTATTTTAGTAATCACCCTTGAAGCTCTTCGATAACAAGAAAAATAAATATAAAACCAATTAATACATAAGAAATTACTTTCTAATTCTTTTTTACTTAATCTATTTTACTGGATCGTGGTTATCTTTTGGTTGGCGGATTTTAAATTTTAGCTCAAGCCCATCAAACTGCCTCTAAAATTAGGTTCCCATGCACTTATAGGTTGAATAGTTATGTAATCCAAAGAAGGCAAGGAACTTATTAAATATTTAATCCAAAATGCCGCTCCAAACTTCGTCCTATAGTGTGTATATAAAAAGAAAAGAAAGGAAGCCATTTAAATATGAAGAAAAATATATCACGATAAAAGAAAATTAAGGTAGAAAAGAAGAAAGAAAGGAAGGAACGAAGGAAGGAAGAAAGAAGGAAAGAAAGAAGGAAAAGAAAAAGACAAAAATTAAAGTAAGAGAAAAAGAAATCATATTTTTAACATTAAATTTAAAAAAAAACATTAAAGAAATTTAAAGAAAGAACGAGAGAAAGATAGAAAGCCATTTAAATGAAAGAATGATGAAGCGGCAGGGAAAAAATGACAAGAAAGAGGTATAAATAAAGAACTTTCAGGAAATAATGAAGAAAGAAAAAGGAAGGAAGAAGGAAAAAGGAAGGAAGAAGGAAAAAGGAAGGAAGAAAGAAATATGAAAGAAATAAAATAAAATGCCAAAAGTTAAAGAAAGAAGAAAGCAAATCGTATTATTAAAAAAAAAATGGAAGGAATTTAAAGAAAGAAAGAAAGAAAAAAAGAAAGAAAGAAATTTAAATGAAATAAAGAAGAAATAATAAAGAGAGCTGAAGAAAGAAAAGGGCATCAAGAAAAAAGAAATTTGAAGAGGGAAAGAAGCAATAAAGGAAGGAAAAGAAAAAATTAAAAGAAAAAAGAAACAATCATATTTTTTTTAAAAAAAATGAAAGGAATTTAAAGAGAGAAATAACGACTGGAACAATGGCAATGTAGAGAATGAATATATGTAAAAAAAAAAAAAATGACAAACGTGGGAGTCGACAACTTCTTGTTTGAAAGACTGACAAAAAAATACAATGAAGACATTGGAAGTTACGAGGGTGATTTGTGATTGTACGGAACCTGAAGCGGACATCCTGACTGACCTGTCGGGGTTAGATATGCGCTTGGAGACAACAAATAAGAACGCCGGAAGAGAAAACTGAACACTGGCAACAATGACAGTGATTGCGATTTGCCAAGAATGGAGAAACGATTTGTTAGCACCGCGCACAACGGAGCCAGCTTTTCAACACCTCGCGGGTCCAAATGACCGCTAGGCGGGAGAAAAACAAAACAAAACAAAGCCCAAAACAGATATAAAAACTAAATACGATAAAAAAAAAAAATTGAAAATATGGCGATAGTAGAAAGTTGGGGAATAAATAAAATCATGTCCTAATGGTAAAACTGATTTCAAAGAACAGCGAAGACATATCTTAATATAAGACAGTCAATGCTGTAAATCGATAAAAGAAACTAAAATGGAAGCGAAGATAAAAGACGTGTCAGAATATATCACGTGATATTGTACTGAGATTTGTCAATGTATTCGCATGCTGATTTGAGTCTTGTGGTAATCCATCGAGTTTCAGGAGAAGTTTGGTGCAACACGATCTTCCAATAAACTTAGAAATATATATACATATATATATATATATATATATACACACACACATATATATATATATATATATATATATATATATATATATATAAAAAGAAAGAACAGCGGAAAAACCATATTTTAAATCAATTAATTTATAATATATATGCATATATATACATATATATATATATATATATATATATATATATATATATATATATATATATATATATATATATATATATATATATTTAAAAATGTTTAAAAATATGTATTCATTCAATACAAAAATTACCATGTTTCGAAACAAAACCTAGACCTTAAATTAAACCTAGAATTGAAGGAAAAAGTTATTCAGCGTCGTTTGTGAAGGGAACAAAAACTTTAAGTTTAAGAGAAAAGCGCTCAATATCAATGAGAGAACTAACATATTTAGTTGCATGGATATGAGTTCGTAACCCAGGGATTCACGCTTTTGCAATTATCAGACAAACTCTTTGTCTGCTAATCGCCTTCCATATCATGATGATCGCATTCCATATCAGTAGTGCGAAACTTTTCTTTCTTATTGTCAACAATACGTACGGTTCTGCCATTACGGTGCACTTCACAAAAAGTCCAAATTTTACCATCAATTTCAGCACTAGCTCTTTCACCAACTTCAGTCGTGCTCGTTCACTTTTATATTTGAAGGCAGTAGAAACAATTTATGACAAGTCCAGACAGCCCTCCCTCTGTAAACAGAGGAAGTGTCTGTTAGAACTTGGCGTTATTTCAATCTAGATCGTTCCGCTTTTAATGTTGCAAAATATGTCTTTTTTAATTCGTATTGTGATATTTATTCACTGAATTTCAGCTCTGTTGATTGAGGACGAAACCGGTCGGCTGTTTTTTTATTATTATTATTATTATTATGAAGGATAAAATTGCTCTTACCTTTTTTATTTTCATAATTAACTTCTGTACCACAAAGAAAATTATGAAATTATAACCATGGAATATTAGCGTTTGAGTCTTTTATATTATATTCTTGCTGTGTCCTGGATATTGATCTCTGCCTGGATTCTATCCTCTTGGAAATTCTGAAGAAAGATTGAGGCCAATCTGAAATATCAAATATATATATACAAATAAATAAATACTTTCACAAAAGTACATTATTATTTTTTAATTTGCAACTTTTCTATTTATACATATTAAGAAAGTATACGTGGCTTCTCATAATGCTACATATATATATATATAGATATATATATAGCATAATGCACGGTGGAGTAATGGATAGCAGCTTGGATTGAGGAATCGCAGAGCCGAGTTCGAATTCCAGTCGAATCCATTACATTCACTTACGTGCTAATACCCTTGGGAAAGGTATGAATCCTCTCCCTCCAGCTATGGGTGAAATAGCAGGACAGACTGGGTTATATAGCCTTGGATGGCAACTGGTCTAGGAGAAGGACAACTCTGAATTCAAAAACCTGCGGAGGGTCGTTTGGGAACCTTGTGGAATTCGGTGCACCAGGTCTCTGTATTCGTCCCTTCAAAAAGTGTGGATGGTCCTGCACGAGGCCTTCACCACTATAGTCAAATCCCATGTGCCGGTGTCGGGCTGTCGGTTTCCTGGAAACTGATCTGCTTGACCGTCATACGTCGAATCTCGACGGGAGAGTCGATTATTATATATATTTTATCCGTCGTAATGAAACACCTTTATATGCAAATAATACAACATGTTAATTATCATCTGTATTTCGAAAATCTCATTCGGGGAGATCAAGTCATATATTATCGCACACTGTATATGTGTACACACGCATACGCGTAACATACGTAGATTCACTCTGTCTTTCCCTATCTCTATTTGTCAGATATGAATATACCCACATTCACAATTAGGTGTACTTGAGTATTTTCATTTCATTTTAGGCAAGCTGGCTCAAGGCTATATAATTTGGAAAATGTAAGCCGTAACGGTATTAGATACGAAGTAAAATTGTTATTCAACAATGGATATGTATTTTAAAATATTCCAACAAAAAGTCCAACCGTTGATAACCACTTTTAAAGGCATGAAAATATTTACAATTTAGAGCTTTCTATAGACATGTAGAGTGTTACTGTTGTTTTCTGTTAGATAATTTATACGTCTATCATGAACATGCACACAAAAGCTAATAGATCGTTGAGACCCGTTACAATGAAATCAATTTAAAAAAAGGGAAAACACATTTACCGTTAAAGATGAATATGCAGTTCCGATCAGCAGGTGCAAGACAATGAGAAATGTTGCAATGGAGGTGTTGAACTGCACTTCCTCGACGGTTGACTGTCATTGAAGACTGTCAAGTGCCATTCAAAAAAGGGTCCCCTTATTCAAAGACGGTGGATATATTTTAATTTCTTAATTATCTAGCGGACAAAACAGATGATGTCACGGCGTCAGCGTAGGTTCTGTCGAGTTAATCAAGATACCTAAAAATACAAGGAAGTTTTTTTTTTGTTTGTTTTTTCTTTTAATTCATAATTGTATTTTTCCATTGCTTCGACGTGCTTTTGTCGTCTTTTGTGAAACTCTTTACGTATTCTATATAAAGAAGTAGCAAATACAAAAGACTCACTCTTTTTTTAAAAATCTTTACACAAATACATCTCTCTCGATATACGCGCGTGCGGGTGCGCACACGCACATCCACACAACACACACAAACAAACATATGCCTGATATATTATTTAAATCGATTGTTTCACAATATAACGTATCCACTAGACGAAGCTGGTCTCATCTACAGCATATGCATATCAAAGATCGCATATTTTTCTTTAATACGATTTCTTGAATATTCAGGACGGTAGACGAAAATAAATATACTGTGAAATAAATAAATAGCGCGTCTACTTAAATAAAATTATCCAATAAAAATTGCGGTTAAATAATAAATATCTGTCGGATTATTAAATAAAAAAATCTATCCACATTCTTTACTTAATATTACATGTGAGTTTCATCATTTTTCAAATACATATAAATTTTTGCGTTGCTTAAAATTTCAACAAAATGTCCAACCGTTGATAACTACTTTTAAAGGCATGAAAATATTTACAATTTAGAGCTTTCTATAGACATGTAGTGTTACTGTTGTTTTCTATACAAGTCATGAACAAGTCATATATATTACATCACCCGCACATCCAAGCTTACAGAATCTGGTATTCCCAAGCGGCAATATATATATATATATATATATATATATATATATATATATATATACTAGCAGCATGGCCCGGCGTTGGCCGTGCTTGATTAAAAAATCGTACGACTCATACAGCAATCGCTATCACTTGACTTAAAATATTTTTGCCCTTCCTTGCCTTTAAAGGAGTGCCCTTGCCGTGCTGATGTTGTTACATGCCTTACTTCTTGCCTATCTCACACTGCGAATTTTTTCGAAGCTCTATACTAAACATTAAATCTGTTACGAAAAAAGAACTAAACAAAATGAACACAAAACGATCAGCTTTAAAAAAGGACTCGTAACTGGAAAAACCGAATGAGAAAAGAATGTTAACAACAAATACTTTTTCACACCCAATCCAGTTCTGCGGAATCAGAATCAACGTTGAGTTTAAGCAAGCGAATGGGCCAATTGGAGTAAAGTGCCATGCAGATTTAAATTTTTCCCACTTATGAATGCAGCTATCGATTTTCTTTTGCAATATAGGCTATAGGCTTTCACTCTGGCCAGTACAAAATGGCCGCAAACTACATGAAAACTGCCGTAGAAGCATGAAAAAATCGATTATTTCCACTATCGATGAGAGTTGGGAAATGCACCGTTGGTCTTGGTGTGTGTGTGTGTGTGTGTGTGTGTGTGTGTGTGTGTGTGTGTGTTAGTTATATGAGAATGCACACTATGCAAGAAACAATATGTGGGAAAATCTGAATGGCCCTTTCACTACAGAGTTAATCATTTTCGTAATTGGATCATGTCGGCTCCCCACGAAAGATTATTACCTGTAGAACAACATTTCCTCTTAGAAAAACATGATTTTAAAAGCCATGGCAAATTCGCTACAACTGAAAAAATAGAAATAGACAGAAAAGATAACATTAGAAAAATTCTAGAGGAACACGAAGACAAATGGATAGAACGTTAACTAACAATAGACAAAAAGATAGAGCATCTTAAACACAAAATTCTAGATAGAAAGAGACAATGACGCATCTACTTAACGCCATCTCAAGCATCTCTATAGTAAGTTAGAACACAAGATCACAAAAATTCTGATCACGTTCTGTCATCCACTTGCATAGGCCTGTTAGGTATGTCATGCTTTTTTCTGTTGTTTCTCTTTCCCTCTTTTCGACCCGTGAGTATCTGATTCTCCAGGTCCTCCTTCTTCATTATGTGTGCCAGACACAACAGCAACTTCTTCCAAATGTTAAGTATAAACCTCCTCCTTGTTTGCATCCTCTCGAAAACCTCATCGTTGTTCACACGCTTGGTCCGTGATATCCTTAGCATCCTTCTGTAGAACCACATCTCCATCGCCTCGAGTCTCTTCTCTATCTTTGAGGAAATCGTCCAACATTCGCTGCCGTAAAGAAGGACAGATGTCACGTAATAACTGGTTATTCTTTTCTTCGTTACCAAAGAAATCCTCTTGTC